CAGTGGCTAAGAACAGGCACTCTGAAAGGAAGGTCCTGGGTTTCAAACTCTGGCTTTGCCACCTACTTTGACCTTCCATAAGTTACTTTACTTTCATTTCTAAACTTCAGTTTGCTAACCTAGGATGTTGACTTTTTATGAGGTTTAAAGGAAATAATATAGAAAAGGAGACACTTGTACAAATGATTTCAATAGATGGGAGCTGTAAACATCTACAGTCTTCCTCTTTCATTGAAATCTTTTGCACTTTATCTTAATAAGATTTTCAAAACCCCATAAGGAACAGTAAGGTATTTCCCATGACTTGCAAAAGATCTTGTTTCTTTGCAAGAAATCCTTGTGTAAACCTTCCGATTTATAAATTTGCCTTTAACTTTCCTTGCAACCGCAACCAGAGCCTTGAGGTGAGAAACCTGGGGAGCTAACCCTCTTCTCTCTGAACTGTAAAAGCATCACAGAATGCATTCAAAGCATCTCAGAATCATGGATTAAATCAAAATGAATTGCCAGTTGTTTTTAGGGAGAGAAACAGCTAATGAACAGAGTCTTTAACACCATTTTGCTTCTGAGCAGTCATCCCTCTCTGCCATGTGCCTAAAAGATTAAACCAAAAAGCATCCTGATGACACAGCGGAGCACACACGGCAGCGCTTTGGCAGGAAGCCAGTTTAGACTCTGGCGAGCACAGCAGGATCCTGGACTTAGGCCACGCTGAAGTCAGGCTTCGAGCCAAAGCATGCCCACAGCTTAGCCCACTGGCATCCCTCCACCCCAGTCTGAACCTGATGTAAGCACAGGTGATGTAAGAACCAGCCAGTATACACACCTGCAAGAAGAGCCCAAGGCTAAGCAGACTTGATCACAGCCAGCTGCCAGGACTCAATCCATAGTAACGGCTAAGAGCTGCTTGAAAGAGGATCGTGTGCGTTCTCAGTCCCGTCTGACTCTCTACAACCTTGTGGACTGTACCCTGCCAGGCTTCTCTGTCCATGGGATTCTCCAGGCAAGAATACTGGAGTGGGTTGCCACTCCCTTCTCTAGGGAATCTTCCTGACCCAGGGATCAAAACTACAGCTTCTGCATTGCAAGCCACTTCTTTGCCTCTGCACCACTTGGGAAGCCCCTGAAAGAGGAAAGGCTGGGCTTATTAGTGGATCCTACCTCTCCTTGGTAGAATACGTATCTTCTCCTGCCTTTAAGGTATGCAAGCTTGACACCTCAGAACAAAACCAACTTGATGAGGATTGCCTCAAGAGAGAAGTTGCTAGGTAGCTGACAGAATCGCAACCACAATCTCCATGTGTCTGTGCACAAAAGAGCTGGGTCTTCACTGGATCCTGCCTAGCCTCCTGTCTTCTCCCAGAGATAAAAGGATAGTGGTGTCTGCAGTTGGAAGACTGGACAGGAGAGGTATGCGGTGGACTGAGATTCTAGATTTAGGGAGGAAGGGGGAACCTTATTGCCTCTGGACTGTCTCCTATTATGTAGGTTTGCCACTAAGGGTCTAAGGCAGGTCCTCTCTTGGGGGAGCCCCTAAATCAGTAGCACAGAGCCAAGCCTTGCTGTTTTAACTTTCCCCAGCTGCTTTGCATTTTGTGGGTAGACTCAAAAATGATAGTGTCCCTTGATGGTGGTCTCTGTTGCTGAGTGACAGTATTTTCTGAGTTTCTTTGATACCCTCTTCCCCCACCCCCAGTTATGAACTTATACTGGAATGCCCACTGTAAGTTCTTTGCTTGTTCACTGTGGTTTCCTCTCCCAGACCAGAAAGATTTCAACAGGAGTTGGGGCATCCATTAGGATCCTGTGTTGCCTCACCCCAAAGCCCCTCACTGGGGAGGTGCAGATTTGAGAGCAGAAAGGCAACAGCTGCAAACCATATTTTATTTCTGATCTTCTTCCTAGGCCCAGCAGCTGGGCTGGTGCCAACCCTGTATGACTAAACCAGTGGCTCCTGAAGCCAAATGATGCTGACTGGCATGGTCCACCCTGCACTGATTTCACCCCTGGTGGAGCTGGCCTCTCTACAAAGGATCTGACTCTTCCCTGACTTTTCCCTAAGGACTCAGAGGTTCTTATATTCTCCTTCTCAGACACCCACTCAGATTCCTAATGCCTTTATCTCCTACTCTTGGGAGGAAGCTGGAGGTGTGCTGTGACCTTCAGTGTCTGATGGTTTGTGAACTGCCCACGGAGACAGGGAGGGGTATTTTTGCATTTTCTCTAATTGTTTCCTTCAGAAGTAGTAAACTGATAGACAGTCTCTTAAAGTCAGAGATCTTTTTGAATTCAGATGTTTTGAACTAAGACCTGTGTTCTAATCCTGGCTTTATCACTTATTATCATAGCTGGTCCCTTCATTTCAAGGTGGGGAAGTTGATGGTGCTGATGATGGCAACATTTGAGGGACTTCTGAAAATTAATGATAATATTTATTAAGCACCTGTCACACTACTGGTTTAAGTACCTGTCCTCTTGCACAAACATCCACATATACTTGCACACTTTGTGCTAATTTGTATGCATATTGCTTTTGTAGTGGTGGTATGGGAATTGCTAGATATTTGCAAATAGTTTTGAAAAATTTGTTTTTTCCTGACCGCTAGAAATGTGTATTAAGTTAAATTTTTGGAGTAAGGAAATGCACAGGACAATAATACAAACCATGTGAGATGATCATTGCTACCATTTTATCATGTAGTGCATTTTCTAAAAAAAAGATGTTTAAAATTTTATTTCATAGGATCATGCTGTACAAACTTTTTTAATGTGAATAATTTATTATCATGAATCCAGTTGTTTTTCTGTACTATGGTTTGTAATAGTTGTAGAGTAGGGATTCCCAGGTGGCTCAGTGGTAAATACACTTGCTGAGGCAGGAGGCACAGGTCCGATGCCTAGGTCAGGAAGAGCCCCTGGCGGAGGAAATGGCAACCCATTCCAGGTCAGGACAATTTCATGGAGGGAAGATCCTGGAGGGCTAACTGTCCATGGGGTTACAGAGTCAGACACGACTGAGCATGGTTACACACCATTGTAGAGTAGTCTTTTGTTTGGAATATCATAATCATCAAATCTCGTAGTTGACATTTTTGGTTATTTGTAGTTTTTGCTCTGAAAAACTCTAGTTGAGCCTTCTTGCTTTGTTATCTTTATACACATTTGTAACTTCTTTTTTAATAAGTTTCTAAAAGCAAGTTGGACTAAAAGTAGGAACATTTTTAAAGCTTTGAATTGTTATTAACAAATTTTCTTCCATAGAGGTTTAGCTGTTTTAAATGACCATCAGTAGTGGTCCTCTTTTATACCTTCTTTAATTGAGCATCAATTTTGTAAAAAATAAACTATTATTTATCTAATTTCTTCTTATGGCTTATTAACTAGTTACTTTATATTTTAAGCATTTTCTGATCATGTTCTTTGCCACTTATGTTTGATTTATGATTCAGTTCTATTCAGTTCAGTTGCTCAGTCGTGTCCAACTCTTTGTGACCCCATGATAACCTCTGACATATAAAGCATATGAAATTTTTTATCATCATATTAGTTGTAAATATTTATTCACCAGTCATTTGTCTTTTAATTTTTTATGGTGAGCTGTCTTTCATTTCTCTTTTCAAAAGAAAATATATCAAAGTCTGTCTATTTTATAGTTAAAGCTTTTAGTCTTTTCCTTTATTTTGGCATTTGTGCTAGGCATTTCCACATCCCACCCCATCCCCCAGCTGGAATCACAAAAATATCCAACTGTATATTCTTTCTAAATTATTAATCTATCTTGAATTTGCTGTATCATGAGTATGAGGTCAGTTCAGTTCAGTGGCTCAGTCATGTCCGACTCTTTGAGGCCCCATGGACTACAGCATGCCAGGCTTCCCTGTCCTTCATCAACTCCCAGAGCCTACTCAAACTCATGTCCATCATATCAGTGATGCTATCCAACCAACTCATCCTCTGTCGTCCCCTTCTCCTCCCACCTTCAATCTTTCCCAGCATCAGGGTCCTTTCCAGTGAGTCAGTTCTTTGCATCAGGTGGCCAAAGTACTGGAGTTTCAGCTTCAGCATCAGTTCTTCCAATGAATATTCAGGACTGATTTCCTTTAGGATGGACTGGTTGGATCTCCTTGCTGTTCAAGGGACTCTCAAGAGCCTTCTCCAACACCACAGTTCGAAAGAATCAANTTTGTTCATAGTGATGCTTCCTAAGGCCCACTTGACTTCACATTCCAGGATGTCTGGCTCTAGGTGAGTGATCACACCATTGTCATTATCTGGGTCATGGAGATCTTTTTTGTACAGTTCTTCTGTGTATTCTTGCCACCTCTTCTTAATATCTTCTGCTTCTGTTAGGTCCATACCATTTCTGTCCTTTATTGTGCTCATCTTTGCATGAAATGAGGTAAGAATTATTATTTTAATAGGCATGATAATTGTTTCTTTAAAAACTTATTAAAACCTATCAAAATATTTTGAGTCCATGGGTACACATTAAAAATAACAAAACCCAAGTCTCCAGATGGAAATATATTTCAGGGAATATTTAAAAAAAAAAAAAAGAAAGCTGTGTTTAGTAATAAGAAGATACTACTCTGGCAATTTTAGTTAATTCTAAATAGCAGAAGTGCCATATTTAAATTCTATGTTAACCTTTTTTTGTTACTCACTGAGGTGGCTACTGGGAGTTCACTTTAACTTCTTTTTCTCTGGATATGTTTTTTCTGTCACAATCTCTGTTTTTGGAGCAGCCTGACCTTCTGGACAGTATCTCTCTGCAGAGAAAACTTGTGGATCTTTCCAATCTCTGTGCATCCTTCCAGTCTTCTGATAGCTCTGTTTTAGCTTCCATCCCTTTAATTTGCGAGTCATTTATCTAGCCCTGCCTATTTTGAAACAGTGATGTAGGTTGACCGCAGGTAAAAAAATCACAACATCACTGATAACTTGGAAAAATTAGATGTATTCAGAGGAAGAGCACTGATTCTTTGTATCTCCTGTTTCAGGAAAAGATGAAAGGCAAGAACAAGCTGGTGCCTCGCCTGCTGGGGATCACCAAAGACTCAGTGATGCGCGTGGATGAAAAGACCAAGGAAGTGTTGCAGGAGTGGCCACTGACCACAGTCAAGCGCTGGGCAGCCTCACCCAAGAGCTTCACACTGGTAGGGACTGGCTGAAGGCAGTGAGTGGGCCAGCATGTTCTGGGTGATACCATGGGGCAGGGAAAACAATACAAGCCTATTGGAGAGGGATAGGTGGTGGGGGTCCCTAGGGCAGGGAGTGGTGGTAGCCACTGGTCTAGAAGTGAGGGAAATGTCTGGTCTCCTTGGCCACCTCTTTCTCTCTGGTCCTCTAAGGCTGGCTGAGTTCCTTAATTAGAAAGAGCCAGTCAAGGATGATTCTCAGTCTTCTGTGCCATCCCTAGCATACCCTAAAAAGCAGTTTGATGATGCTGTGAAGCCGTACGGACGCTTCTCATCTCTAGTTGTTTTAGAAGTTTCTAAATAAGCTCTTAAGAATTGTGACATCTTGCCAAGCTGTGTTTTCCCAGCCTGCCTGTGATGAGAACGTGCTGTACGGTGAAAATAGCACAGACTGTGGGGTAGTGTTCGAAGTCAGCTTTCCTTCCCCATTCTATGCCTTTGCTCAGGTTACTCCTCTCTGAGCTTTAATGTCCTTGGTTGTGAAACGGGGGGAGTAATACCTGTTTCTCAGAGTTACCAGAATCAAATGAGACGATGATAACAGAACGCTCAAAGTGAAACATGCTGAATGTAGGGAGGATGTGTGTTTGTTCCAGACCTCTAAACCTCTGAATTCTTCCTCCCAACCTCAGTATCTGCTTTTAGCAGAGTATGCTGTGTGGCCCTCACTGTAGCCAACCACACTGATACATGAAAATCAGTAGTGCAATTATTTTGTAGTGTGTATTGAGCCATAAGAGAATCAGAAAGTGTTGAGATTTGTCACTTTCTTCAGAACTCCTAAATTTTACTATTCTCCAGCTCTCATGAACTCTTGAAATATCTGCATTGAGGCAAGATGTTACATCAGGGCATCAGAAAAAAAGGTATCAAGAAGGGGCCTTGGTGGGAATATTAATTATCTAATTTGAGCATTGATTGATAGACTCTTGCTGGTCAGGAGGAGTCTTCAGAAAACAAACCTTCCTTCCATTTAGGTCTACTTACCTGCCATGCTTTTTGAGTATAATTGTTTAAGTATTTCTTCTATATATTATACACTGACCACTACATGAGATGGTATTACTTTGGATTCAACCGTATAATAAGATTGAAGAAAACGCATGAGGTGAAGGATATAATTTACTTCTGTTTTTATCCATCTCATTGTTCTTTCTCTTTCTAAAGTTCCCAGTTTTCTTTTGTTTTCATTTTCTTTGTGTTCAGAGAGTTTTTCTTAAGCCATTCTTTAAAGGTAAATCTGCTAGCAACAAATTCTTTAGTTTTCCTTTAGCTGAGAATGTTCTTATTTTCCCTTCATTCATGAAGATTAATTCTGCCAGATATAGAATTTGAGATCCTCAGTTCTTTTCTTTTTGCACTTGAAGAATATCATTCCACTTCTCTCTGACCTCTGCTGTTTCAGCATAGAAATTTTCTGTCATCATGTTGGTGTTCATTTATAGGTAACATGCTGCTTTTCTATGGATGTTTTGAANTATATATGTATATATTTTGGTCCAACACTCTACTTTCCTTCTGTATTTCTGACGACATGGATATTAAGTCTTTTTTAAATTGTCCTACAGATCCCTGAATCTCTGTTTTGTTTTGCCTGTGTTCTGTTGTTTTACTTGAGTAAATTTTATCAATCTATTTTCAAGCTGACTGGTTCTTTTCTTTATCATTTCCACAGTACTATTTTATCTATCCCATGAGATTTTTACTTAGGTTATGGCATTCTTTTATTCTCAAATTTCAGTCTGGTTCTTTATTATGACTTAAATTTCTTTGTTAACCCTCTTGTTTTCACTTGTTTCAAGAGATTTTGTAATTGTTGAAATATTTTTTATGATTCAAAATTTTAAAATTCTTACCAGAGAATTCCATCATCTGATTCATTTTGATATTGGCATCAGTTGATTATCTTTTTTTTCCTCTTATGTTGTATTCATCCTGGTTCTTGACATGCGTAGTGATTTTTAATTATATCCTATATGCTTTGGATTTTATATTAGGAGACTCTTGACCTTCTTTACATCTCTGTTTTTGTAGACAGTCACCTTGTTTAGGTTTAGTGTATAGTACAGTGTTCTGGCATACTTTTGTGGACTTGAGTTGCAATGGAAATTTATTTTCTGAGCCCTGGCAATGTTCTGGACTGCCCTGTTCTTCTGACATTGCTGGGGTTCCTGCTTAAAGCCTGCTAGTGCTGTCTGTGAGGGAAGAAAGTACTTCCTATGGCCACCTACTATTAATAGGTGACCTTTCTTAGGAAAACAGAAGGTGAGTGGAGGGGAGGGAGAGACAGGGCTTCGCTGTGGCCACGGCTGCAGAACGATCAGACCACCTGCCTGCCTGTGGACAAGGGCCGAAGATGGCCAGGCTTTCATTGCTTTGCAGCTGCCCATGAGCAGCTCGGTTGTGAAGCTGCTTGAGTCTCCCAGTTAGGTCTTTGTTGAGCTTCCCATCTCCTGGTCCCTTGGCCAGAGAGAACAGACTTTCATAAACTTTCTGTTGGAGTTTTCAAGTTTCAGGCCTCTCCAGCACCCAGCCTTGGAAATGTGGGATATAAAATAAAACTCAAGAACTCATCAGACTGTGGTCCCTCAAGTACTGAGGTCACCAGTCAATACACTTTTCCAGTTTTCAGAGCCCTTCCATTGTTTGTTGAATACATTTTAGGGTGTTCAGTTGTGTTTAGGGTAGATGAGCAAGAACAAGTGAATCTACGCCAGAACTTGTTCCAAGATTGGAACCCCTCACCTTTGAAACTGGTGATGTGACTGTATTTCTTCTAATATGGGTTTTTCCCCCCTAGGATTTTGGCGAGTATCAGGAAAGCTACTACTCCGTACAGACCACTGAAGGAGAGCAAATATCCCAACTGATTGCAGGCTACATTGACATCATCCTCAAAAAGGTATTTAATACTGTGCAGATTAGACAACACTTCTTTATTAAAAAGTCTCAGTTTAGATGATATAGCTACCTTGAAAATAAAAAACTCATGTAAAGTACTTGATGCACTAATGGAATCTTTAACATTAAGCTTGCTTGAGTGTGCATCTTTGACCGCATATCCATTTCTAATTTTGCTGCAGCTCACATTTGTGTCATTGACTGCCAGGTAGTGAGCAATAGTGTATCATTTAGCTAATGAATGAGCCTGGCTCACCCCTCAGCATCTTCCTCTCGAGGTAATTGTTACATTTTCCTCATAGAAACTGGGTTGAGGGCCTAAAGGTTTTCTTTCGTTTTTTCTCTTTCTCTCATCCAGTTTTAACGGGGGGGTGGGGTGGGGGGGGNCCCATACAAGGAATTTGGGATAACCTTAACGTACCTGCTTATGTGGCTCATTTTAAAAGACCTCCTTAAAAGGATCTTGTGTCAAGACCTGCTAACTTTCATGTTTGTCTTGTTTTACCTCAGAAACAAAGTAAAGACAGATTTGGACTGGAGGGTGATGAGGAGTCAACTATGTTAGAAGAGTCCGTTTCCCCTAAAAAGTAAGTGTATTTAAAATCAGGGATAAGTGCCTTCTCCCATCATGGGCAGGTTTCCTCGGGCCAACTCTGGGCCAGTTGCCCTGAAGTCCTTCACATGGAGGAGGTGATAATGGAAGAGACAGATGAGTCTTGCTTCTCAAAGTGTGGTCCCCAGACCATTATCATCACTGTTGGGGTGAGGGCGGCTGGGGATTTCAGGGAGACATGGAAGTCCATGTGGTACTTAATTCCATCTTTAGACATGGTAAGCCTTCATGTCCTGTTTTGAATTTCTGATTTAAATATCATAAACTGCATCATTATCATCAAAGCCTGGAGAGTGAATTCAATTCTGTATCTTTTGGGCTAGGGACCTACCCAGTAGGGGAATTTTTGTTTATGAGACGCTTGTTACTGCCATGCTTGATACACGTGTCATGAGGTAGCAAAGGGAAGTGGTAAGAGCATGGACCCTGGAGCCAGAGTTACTGGGTTTCAGTCTGGGGTCTGTTTTTCAGTGTGTGGCTTTGGGGGCATTATGAGTTTTCTCTGTCTCCTTCATCTCATCTATAAAGTGAAAATAATGATTGATAGTACTACCTCATAAGTTAATTTTGATGCTTGAGTTCTTAATAATTCCTATAAAACTAATAAAGCACATTAAGCAATCTCTGGGACATAATACATGTTTGCTATTTTTATCATTATTTTAAATTTGGAACAGTCTCAATTTAGCCCCAGTTTGTAAATGAGGAAACTGAGATTTATTAAAATTTGGGAATAGGCAAGACTTGTTGAGAAACCTGTTCACCCACTCCCTTGATGTTCATAGAGCATTGTAGTGACAGTTTTTTGTGTCTATACTGTGTGTCCTTCTTGCTGTCTTACTTGATCCCAGTAACATCCCCCATGGAAGAGGTAAGCTAGATCTTGCCGTCCTCAGACCGTGGATGAGGAATCTGAAGCTGCTGGAGGTTAGTTGAGATGCACAGCTGGGGCTGAGCCAGGACTGGGATTCAGGTCTGTGACATCTCCTCTAGGGCGCTGTCCTAGGGCAGCATCTTGAACTCGCCCAGTCATAGTCACTGTTTCTCTACCTTGGCCGCTGTGTACCACTTTCTCACAGTTTGCATCATAATCCCCTTGGAAGTGCTTCTTTATTTGTCCACTATTAGTATACAACTTGGAGCCAAATTTGATGTACTGCATTTCAAGTGCTATTTGTTACCCCTGGCAAAAGACTTGAATTTCTTGGAGTTATTAATGATCATCAGATGAATGTTAGTAAGCTAGTGCTTCCTAATAGGGTGAGCTGTGCACTTCACAGGGTTCCACTGCACTTGAATTTCTCTTAGGAGAAGCTCAGTAAGTGTCTGTACCCTGAGTGCTGGGACCCTCCCCTGCCTAGCACCGTGGCAGCCCCTTCCCACTGCAGAGAGCATCACAGTCCAGGGAGATCCTCATCATGAGATCTTTCACTTCTCCCTGTATTAGACATTGGCTGAGATCTTGGAATGCAGCTGAGCTCTGAGAGGAGCCTTAGATGCATCCTCTCTAATGCCAGTTCCTCTGCAGATGTTAATGTCACTCCACGGATACCTGTCGATTGGTACCCTAGCTTGACTCACAGCCTTTGCCCTGGGCAACAGGAAATGAACTGTGATGGTTCCAGAATCCTGGGACAGAAGCTCCTATGCCTTAATACAGCTAGTCACCAACCCTGCCCCACCCCCTCTGCATCCCCCCACACAGACTCTCCCACATTCCCTGTGGGTTTGTCCTCTGGGTTATCAGATTCTTACCCTCATGTGCTAAAAGTCCTTTGCACTCACCTCTCATTCCAAGAAAATATCAAGAGGTTAAAAACTTGAAATTTTTTTTTTACTAGATGCCCTGGGAATCTTCCCAGACTTAAGTTGAAATCATCTGAAAGAGGTACCAAGGTCAGCCAGTCATCAAGGCTCCACAGGTGTTGAAACATCCTCTGTGATCAGTGGCTTTCCACCTGGGGAAGGAGAGCTAAGCTGAGGGAGATGAGAAGTTCATTTCCACATTTCTTCCTTCAAACTGAGGATTACTGATCTCTGTCCCCAGGGCTTAGAATAGAACCTGGCATGCAGTAGATTTGTGTTGAATGAATGCTATTTCAGGTAGAATTTACCAAATACTACATCACTGTATCCAGAACATTCGCTTAGGCCTAGAACATCATTGTTTTCTGTGTCCTGAACAGCTAATACTGTAATGCCAGGAATTAATTACAGTACTGATGATATAAAAAGATTCTTTCATCTCAGAGTTTTGCTGAGCATTTTAGTGCAGTTCCCTCACTCATGACTCTGTATTTGCCTCTTTTAAATTGGTTGTCGTAGCATGAAGCACGAGGACTGCTGACACCTGTGATATCAGGTGACGTGACGCTCCCCGTGAGCGGCCAGCTCGCAGTGACCACAGTGTCTGTCCCCGCAGGTCCACCATCTTGCAGCAGCAGTTCAATCGCACCGGGAAGGTGGAGCATGGTTCGGTGGCGCTGCCTGCTGTGATGCGCTCCGGCTCCAGAAAACATCCTCTGTGATCAGTGGCTTTCCACCTGGGGAAGGAGAGCTAGGCTGAGGGAGATGAGAAGTTCATTTCCACATTTCTTCCTTCAAACTGAGGATTACTGATCTCTGTCCCCAGGGCTTAGAATAGAACCTGGCATGCAGTAGATTTGTGTTGAATGAATGCTATTTCAGGTAGAATTTACCAAACACTACATCACTGTATCCAGAACATTCGCTTAGGCCTAGAACATCATTGTTTTCTGTGTCCTGAACAGCTAATACTGTAATGCCAGGAATCAATTACAGTACTGATGATATAAAAAGATTCTTTCATCTCGGAGTTTTGCTGAGCATTTTAGTGCGGTTCCCTCACTCATGACTCTGTATTTGCCTCTTTTAAATTGGTTGTCGTAGCCTGAAGCACGAGGACTGCTGACACCTGTGGTATCAGGTGACGTGACGCTCCCCGTGAGCGGCCAGCTCGCAGTGACCACAGCGTCTGTCCCCGCAGGTCCACCATCTTGCAGCAGCAGTTCAATCGCACCGGGAAGGTGGAGCATGGTTCGGTGGCGCTGCCTGCTGTGATGCGCTCCGGCTCCAGCGGGCCTGAGACCTTCAACGTTGGCAGCATGCCCTCCCCGCAGCAGCAGGTCATGGTTGGGCAGATGCACCGCGGCCACATGCCCCCACTGGTGAGGCTCCCAGGGGCCTTGCCCTGCCCGTCACCAGGCTGCCCCTGGTGCCCAGGGAGCAATACCAGCCTGGTGATGGGTTATGTGTGTTATCCCCACTCTTGCTACTTCCTGTCTGCACCCTGGATCTTCAGCTGGGCAGTCCCAAATACCCAATTCCCAGTGTGTTTTCTTTTAAATGGGTGGCTCTGGCAGTGCTCTGTCTAGGATTACAGGTGTCCTCGAGGGCTGGACAAGAGCCAGTGGCCTCTCCACGTGGTTTGTGAGTGAGGGCTAAGACCCTGCTCCCCCACTTGCCCATTAGCCCAGTACCCCTCAGAGAGGCTCAGAAGTAGACCAAGTCTGTTCCACTCCACACATCCCCTGAGCACATCATTGGTTTCCTGCACTGTGCTCATCTGCCTGACTGGGGCCTCCCTGGAATCTCGTGCTTTGGGACAAGAACTTTTTGAAAGCAGAAGAGCCTGAAAGCCCAGAAGTGATTTGACTGAAGAAGCATGATGACTGTATTGTAGGTTTGGGTGAAATCTTTATTTACTTACCAAGAATTCAGATGTAACACGCACATGATTCCTGTGCAGAGGAACTTCTTTTCTGAATACTCAAGGGTTGGGTCCCCTGAGCTCCCAGCAGGGAACTCTTTCTGAGCCTTCTTGTCAGCTAATTATGCTCTCTACACTCTGCTGATTATAATCACTCTATTGCAAACACCCCTATTTAGTATTCTGTTCATGTAGTACAATACCTATTTCCAGCCCCAGTTGAAATAGGAGGTGGTTCAGGCAGTTTGTTGAGTGGTACTCTGGACTGCTGTGTCTTGATCCCAGGTCCAATTTCCTTGCTTACACAGAGGCTCTGTTGCCAGGCCAGGAGCATGGTGTGACCCCTGTGTTACCTACCTTTGCAGACCTCAGCCCAGCAGGCCCTCATGGGGACCATCAACACGAGTATGCACGCTGTCCAGCAGGCCCAGGACGACCTCAGCGAGCTCGACTCCCTGCCACCTCTTGGCCAGGATATGGTGAGGGTCGTTCAGCACTGTTTTTTTGGTTTTGTTTTGAGAATATTTTCTTTTTTAAAATATTTATTTGTCTGTGCCAGTCTTAGTTGCAGCACATGGGATCTTTAGTTGTGGCCTGTGGGATCTGTTTCCCTGACCAGGGATTAAACCTGGGTCCCCAGCCTTGGGAGCATGGAGTCTTAGCCACTAGACCACCACGGAAGTTCAGCATTTTTATTTGATGTCTCTGCCCTCACAGAAAATGGAATTCTGCACTCTGGCTGGTTTCAGTGAGGTGAATCTCTGTCTCCAGCTGGGTGAGGTGCCAATCCTTAGTTTTTTTTAGAGATGGAGTCCCTGTCTTTAAGCTGTACCCAAGGAAGAGGGTACTAGTGGTAAAGAACCCACCTGCAATGCAGGAGACATAAAAGATATTGATTTGATCCCTGGGTTGGGAAGATCCCCACTCCAGTATTCTTGCCTGGAGAATCCCATGGACAGAGGAGCCTGGAGGGCTATAGTCCATAGGGTCACCAAGAGTTGGACATGACTGAAGCAACTTAGCACTTAGCACAGGAAAAAAGAATCATGAAATGCTACGGGCTATTGGCAGTACCCCTTTAGGCTAAGAACTTAGACTCAAATGGGGCCCAAATTCCAGCCCCACGGCTCAGTGACTGTGTCATTCTGGGCAGCTTACTCTCTCTAAGGTCCACTTTGTTATCCCTGAGAAGGGCTGTTGTGAAGGGTTGACAATACAACCACGTACAAAGTTCTTCCTTTGTGTGCGGGCTTCCCTTGTGGCTCAGCTGGTAAAGAATCTGCTGCAATGTAGGAGACCTGGATTCGATCCCTGGGTTGGAAAGATCCCCTGGAGAAGGGAGCAGCTACTCACTCTAATTTTCTGGCCTGGAGAATTCCATGCACTGTATAGTCCATGGGGTCACAAAAAGTCAGACACAGCTGAGCAACTTGCACTTTCACTTCACAAAGTTCTGAGCCCCAGACCTAACACCGTGCAAGCCCAGTGACTATTAGCTGGATTTGTTGTTAATACCAGTGGTTCTCACACTCTCAGAGTCACCCAGAGGCTTGCTAAAACAGACTGCTGGGCCTCTCCCCCATTTTTTCTGACTCAGTTGGTCTGGGGGTGGGGCCGGAGAATTTGCATTTCCAGCAAGTTCTCAGGTGCTACTGCCTGTCTGGGAACTGTGCTTTGTGAACTGCTGGGTTCCTACTACTGAACTTTTCAATGAGGCAGAGCGATTAACTGCCTTCCCGTAGCTGCCATTGCATGAAATCATCGAGTCCCTTGCTGTTTAAATTGTGATCCCCAGGCCAGCAGCATTGGCAGCACCTAGAATCTTGTGAGAGGTACAGAATCTTAGGCCCTACCCACCCTTCTGAATCAGAATCTACATTTTAGTTCCCAGCTGTTTTGTGTACACAGGGAAGTTTGCCAAGCACTGGCTAGCATTGTCATTCTCTGTCCTGCTTTGCACATTAGAATCACCTGAAGGGCTTAAAGGACAAAGCCTAGGGCTCAGGTCAGACCAAGCAGATCAGTATTGCTGGAGGTGGGGCCTGGGTTTCCATGGTGTTTCATCTCTCTTTGTGATTCTCGTATGCAGCCAGGGTTGGAAACCACGGCTGTAGTACTGCCTGGTATCATAGGGGCAGAACCAAGACACAATTTGTAGCCTCATCTCATCCAGCCAGGACAGCTGCCTCCAAGTTCTCTCGGCTCAGTGTGGTTTTCATTTGTGTACTTGTAAACCTGAAGGGTGCAGCATCCTCAGGGCTGTTTCTGTCAAGATTCTGAAGTTATTAAGTATTTTGCTTTCGGGAACTTGAGATTAAAAATACATATGGCAGCCTTCCGTATCCAGCACAGTTGGGAGAGGGAGTTTTTAAATAGCTGGACTTAATATTCTTGCTTCACAAATTTTCAAAGAATTAATATACAAAGTATCTTAGTGCTAGACATACTCTGAATCAAGATTAATATTTTGGGAATATTTGGGGAGGGAGACCAGAACCGTCTATTACCATGGGATCACCACTGCCAGTGGTGTAAGTGCTCATTTATTGGTTAAGACCAGAAATGGCCAAAAGCAGAATGTGCTAAGAGTCATATGAGCATAAAGTATAAGAACTAGAAAGGTTTCAAAAGACCACTGAGTTTCTATAGCAGAAGAAATTTAGGCACAGGAACTGGGTGAAGTTTGCTCAATGTCACATCACATATTATGGATCCAGAGCAGGGGTCTTGAAGACCACTCCTCAAAATGCTACCGAGAAAGGTGCGCATCAACATGATATTCATGTCATAAAAGACAGTTGCAATGCTGAGAGAACACTCTCATTTAACTCTAATTCTCCATTCTCTAAACAAATGAAGATGGGGTGGGGCTGGAGAATTTGCATTTCCAGCAAATCTAAAAATTTGTCTGCCAGATGCAGTAGACACAGGAGATACAGGTTCAATCCCTGAGTTGGAAAGATCCCATTGAGTAGGAAGTGGCAACCCACTCCAATCTTCTTGCCTGGGAAATCCCATGGACAGTGGATCCTGGAGGGCTATAGACCTTGGGGTCAGAAGGAGTCAGACAGAATTGAGCATGCACTTTGGTGCCTCTGTGCAGTATTATTATAAGATACTAATTATCTCCATTTTTTAAACTGAATTTATCTATGTAAAACCACAGAAAGTTTTTGTCTCCAAGATCTTAAAGAAAAGATAACCCGAGTAAGAAGCATTGAGAACTTTCATTCCATGTGGCATGAATGAATGAGCAAGAGACCTGTTAAGGACATTATTAAAGATGATGTAAGGGCCTCATGGGTGCTGGCCCAGTGAGAGGAGTGTGGTCAGAATGCTGGTCTCATTTTATGGCATGGCTTCTCTGGTTTCCTGGGTAACCCTGCGCAGCAATTGTGTCATGCAGTTATCTGGTTTTGCAGGCATCTAGGGTGTGGGTTCAGAATAAAGTGGATGAATCCAAACACGAAATCCACTCTCAAGTTGATGCCATCACAGCTGGAACCGCATCAGTTGTTAACCTCACAGCCGGTGAGTCCCTGAGGGATTTGTGGTGTATTGTGGTTTTGTTCAAAAAAAAAAAAAAGAGAGAAGTTCTTATTCTTTGATTGAAGCAACAGATTTTTCCTATTCTGAGAGAAGAGTCTATTTTTAGGTCCTCACAATGCTTCAGGCATTTTCTCCCCCTGACCCAGGAGAAATGCGGGGACCCTCTCTTGCCTTTGTGACTGTATCATGCACCCTCAGTGAAAAGCACTTACTCAGCTCACTGTCCATCAAGCTGCTGGACATACTTCAAAGTTTACTGAGGCCAGTTCCTGCCTTCTGAGAGCTTACAGTCTCAACATGGTTTTGTATGACTAGCTGTCACAGGTGCCTTCCTCCATCTTGTCTAGCCGTGGTCTTCTCTGGATTGCACGGCTCTCAGCCTTGCATTGTCACATGAGCGCCAGGGACAATCTTGGTATCACCAAGCAGCGTTGCAGTGTTTCAGGGACAGAGTTGACCTCTCCAAGCTGCTGACCTTGGGCCTTCTGAAAAGGACCATGAGATGCTAGTTTTAAAGGTGCTCATGCTCAGAATCTCAAAGTATGAGACCTCGGGGTGAAAGGACCTCGTGAAGAGCAGCCTTGGAGATGGGAAGAAGAGATGAGTCATCTGACTCTTGCAGGATGGCGCAAGGAGGCAGGGTCTGCTGCCAGTGTCACCATCTGTCTCATGTTACCCTGGACTCTCCGCAGCCTTCACTGCCCTTCTTTGATGATGTCAGTCCTTCTCTGTCCCAGGTGATCCTGCAGACACTGACTACAGTGCCGTGGGATGCGCCATCACCACCATTTCTTCTAACCTGACGGAGATGTCCAAGGGCGTGAAGCTGCTGGCGGCTCTCATGGATGATGAGGTGGGCAGCGGGGAGGACTTGCTCAGAGCCGCAAGGACCCTTGCCGGGGCCGTGTCAGATTTGCTGAAAGCTGTGCAGCCAACTTCTGGAGAGGTGAGCTACGGGGTGAGCAGTCACTCAAGGTTCTTTTTTTAAACTTTTTTTTTGTGTTGGAGTATAGACGATTAACAATGTTGTGGTAGTTTCCAGTGGACAGTGAGGGGACTCAGCCATCTATATACATGGATCCATTCTCCCCCAAAGTCACTCAAGCTCTGATGAGGTAGATGCAGCCTTTGAGACCCATGGGACTCTTGCTTCCCTAGCTGACCCTTCCATCCCAGTGGCTCACGTTACCACACTGCAGGGTTAGGGGCTGCTGAACTGGGTGCAGAAGCTATGGTGCAACCTTTGATACTGGTTAAGCATTACTCTGCTAACAAAGGTCCACATAGTTCAGACTGTGGTCTTCCTAGTGGTCACATGCGGTTGTGAAAGCTGGACTATAAAGAAGGCAGAGCACCAAAGAATTGATGCTTTCCAACTGTGGTGCTGGAGAAGATTCCTGAAGATCTCCTGGAGAGCAAGGAGATCAAGCCAGTATGTGTCTCCTGTCTGGCAGACTGTTCCAGAGTTTCATGGGGTGCAGGAGGAGGCCATCCTGTAGGATTCTTCTTCCCGTACTGCCATGTCTGATGGTGCTGGGGAGGCAGTGCCTTCTCTTTCCCACTAAGATGTGCTCTGTGTTTGTAGCCTCGACAGACAGTTTTGACTGCCGCTGGAAGCATCGGACAAGCCAGCGGGGATCTTCTGCGGCAGATCGGAGAGAATGAGACTGATGAGCGATTCCAGGTAAGATATTTGCAGTGCATAATCTTGGAACCTAAGTGATGGTAGGGAGAAGGTAATGAAAAACTGGGTCTTCCTTGAACTGACAAGAGAAAGGTGAAGGTGGATTATCTTAGAGTGTGATCTTTTATGTGTTAACAAAAAAAATTTTTAATTGAAAAGCTCAATTCACTTACACCGTATATCACCACATTGAAACATCTGCTTAGCTGTTCTTACTAGTCAGCATGCTGCTAACTTTAATTCAGACATGGAGGGAATAATGTCACAATCATCCTTATATCAACCACCCAACTCTACAGTTATCCACTCATGGCCAGTGTTGTTTTATCTATTTGGGGCAGTTTTGAATTGCATCATCCTTGAGTCTGCATGTAAGAGTGAAAACACATGCACTTCCATACACTCTGCTCCCACATAGCACAATCATTCCTTTGTGTTGAGAGCTCTGAATATGTCTGTGTCATATTCAAAACCGCAAGTGTGGCAGAGAAGTCCTTTTTGTCACCCCCCTCCCCTTTTTTTTCCAATACCAAAGATGTATCCTCTGGGGACCAGCTGTTGCCACTGTCTGCAGCTGGCTGGATGCACTGCCAGCTCAGACAAGGTCTCAACTTGTCTGCCTGTATTCCCGGCCCCCGCAAATGGGGTGGGGAGGCCTCCTGCTGGGGATCTTCAGGCCAGATGAACTCCTCTTCTCACATACTTATGGGCAGATGCCTTTCATTCCTCTTCCTCCTCCTCCTAAGTCTTAATTTTACAAGTAACATACAAATACATTCTCATTAAACTGCTGCAGTTCAAACCCAGGTTTTCAGGAAGGTACCCTTTTCTAAATCCTGTGTCAGGTTCAGTGTTTGGATTTTCTGTAGAATTCAGAATAAAATCATTCAGCTTTCTGTTAGCATTCAAGTTGCCTCGAGGGGGGCAATTTTGCTCACTATTTTATCTAGAACTACTGAATTTCATCACCTCAAGACGTGTCAGTTACTCTAAGATATGATCATATATGTTGTGGTACATTAAACATGCCCCTTCTCCTCTACTTTCCACATTCCTGGGGTGCTAAGAACATAGGACTCGCTCAGATCCTGCATTAAGGCATGAACATTCAGTGCATGAATGTTCATGTGATCAGGGAGGCTGAGACACAGAATGGGTGGTGGGGGTATTCCTGGAAGCCATTTCTGTGCTAGCGTGGCCAGTAATAACTGTAAACAGAACTAACTGTAGACCGCATAAATACAACCTGCTAAAGCCAAGCTAATTATGTCCTCATCCTTACTTCCCCTTGTCTAGATCCCCAAACACATGTGTTGTCCTGTGGATTTTGTATTAGAGCAAGTAGTTCTTTGTAGGTAGGTACCTACTTAGAAATTGCTTAATTACGAAATTCATCCGTTGGTTTACTCGGCTTAATTATCTTGAAGCAGTCAACTTATTTTCTAATGTCTGGGAAAAGTTGAGAGGAAAGTCACAGCTCTTCCTTAAAGCATCTCATATATCCTTGTGGGTTTTTTGGGGTTTTTTAAAAAATAGATTTTTCCCCTCTTATTCTTTGACAAACTGTTTCCATCACATGTAAATATAAACTCCACCTCCAAATGTCTGCTTCTGTTCAGATGGGCTAGAGAAGCAGGTTCAAGTTCAGGATAGTGTCCCATGGTGGTTTTCTTAACAGGAAAGACCTGGCTTGAATGTTTCCTATTTCTGTAAGGTCTCTAGGTAAACACCAGTGCAGTAAGGTGATCCTACAGCCTCCTCCAGTTGTGGGTAACCCCTGGCTTACTGACATTGGATTTCTTGCTCTCTTGGTTTTCCAGTTCTTGAGATCCTATCTTGGAGCTTTTTCATGAGTTTTCAATGTCCTGCATGTTCCCAGAGTTAACAAAGGTTTATTCTACATGAGCTGCATAATAGTGGTCTTGTTGAAAAGTTTGACAACGGCCTTGTCAGCAACTATAGCCATAGGATCATGTTCTTTTTCTAACTGTATTTTTTGTGTGTGGGGGAAACAAAATTAGTAGGAGAATCAGGATTTCTTTAAATCAGTCTAACAAAGCCTTTTAGAACAATCAAGAGTTTGCATGACCAAATCTTGGTCCCTGGGTGAGAAGATGGATTCTTTTCGAGGGAAGGAATACTTTGATGCATTTTGGAAGACTGCTTTTAAAAATCTTGATAATAATTTGTGACTTTCAAATTTTGCTTTCACTAAGCATTGAGATAGAGAGCCAAGAACCGTAACTTTGCAGGCTGTGTTGGAATCAATTTCTAGAAGTTATATGGCAGATGAGTGCCAGTCAGATCCCAAAGGCCTCTTCACCTCTCAGCACCACTGGCTATGGCTTTTCCTTGGACATCGAGTAAACACCAGAGACCTAAAAATGACTGAACCAAACTGCCGTTTTCAGACTGCTTTGTTATTGTCCATTTTAAAATCTCCTTACTTGGTGGATTCATGGGTTTCTGATTTGCCTGGATAACATATATAGTCTTGGGCTTTCCAAGTGACTCAGTGGTAAAGAACCCTCCTGCCAATGCGGGAGACCTGGGTTTAAACCCTGGGTCAGGAAGATCCCTTAGAGAAGGAAATGGCAACGCACTCCAGTATTCTTGACTGGGAAATCCCATGGACAAAGGAGCCTGGCAAGCTACAATTCATAGGGTCACAAAAGAGTGGCAGCAACAACAAACATATAGTCTTTGCTCTGTATAAAATTGTACAGGCAGACCACTCTTTCCAGTATATCTTCTCATAAAATATCTCGTTATAAAGACTCTGTGGGTGCCCTTTGCATTCAGAGTCAAAAGTGCTTTTCATTATCTGATGAATTAATAAAGACTTCTGACCACATTTCCTCTGGGAGAAAGCCTTGATATGTTGGTTCAAAATAAAATTGGCCTATATGTTTGGGAAGGCATTTCCAAACCAAATAAATGACTTTCAATATTAAAAGCCAAGAAGTGCATTAAATGTAGCAGTGGTGATTCTTCAGGTCACAGAATGGTGGCAGACCTGATGGGGTGAATCAAGGGATTCTCCAGCCTGCAGGCAGAAAGCCTTTATGTTGACCTGCAACATAAACTAATCTTTAAAGGCTCAGAGTGCTTTGCATCATTGGTGAGGTCTTCTTGAGGCTGGTTTATTTATGTAGGCTCCCTTTCCATTTTCATAATAATTAATCTCCATCTAGAAGGCTACAGGACACTGAGAATAACTTAGATTCAGAGAATTCATGAGCTCTTGAGCTGGAGGTGCTGTCCATGCATGTTCAACGTTGCCCTCTGGAGGCCAAGATGTGGCTGAATTTCTGATGACAGCTTGGATCCTTGTGCAAAGTAGAAATCCGAAAGATAAATTTTCAAGTCACAGTGGAGCATGATGACATGGCAGGCCATGAATCTCATCCTTCCTACCACTCATAGTATATATTTTCAGCTGGATCTACCACATACTCAGGAGGTGTTGTCAAGATTCTAAGTGTTGTTTAAATGCACAAATGTGAATCAATGGTTAAAATAAAAGCTCTTCCTTCAAATTAACCTATTTTAGATTGAAACCTATGCTACTTATAGTACAGGAGACTGTAGTATTAGGATTAAGTCTCCTTCCTTAATTAGCTCTCAGACTAACTTGACATTTCAGTAAAATAAGTGGAAAAAGTGTTATTCTAAAGTACTGAAGCAAAAAGGTCAAATGGAATTTTAATAAAATATTTAAGTGGACACCACGCTTTATTTTCTGGCTCTGATGGATGATTAGGAAAATATAAATAACTATTTTCTGTTTCCCTTTTCTTAGGATGTTTTAATGAGTTTGGCTAAAGCTGTTGCCAATGCTGCTGCCATGTTGGTACTAAAGGCAAAGAATGTTGCCCAAGTGGCTGAGGACACGGTTCTACAGAACAGGGTGATCGCCGCTGCCACCCAATGTGCCCTCTCTACCTCCCAGCTTGTGGCGTGTGCCAAGGTAAACTGGTGGGCACCCCAGCCCTTTCTTCAGAGTGTCACGTGCTCTTATCCGCCCTCAGTCACTGAGAGGAAGCAGGGACAGAGCTGATTAAAATTGTCTAAGATTCAGAGCTTGCTTCAGGTATCTTTTAGGTAAAATGGTAGTATTTTAGCATAAGCTGTCCAATTCCACTTTAATAATTTTTTCCTTGCTCAAGTCCTCAAGAAATGGTACTTTTCTGTGTCTAATTGCCATTTCTACATGTAAATTGCTGTGTCTCCCCTTCGGATTTCTCAGTATGTCTTATTCACCCCTGTGCACAAAGAGCTCTTGGATTGTGCCGTTATAGCATTATACATGGGTTCAGTAATAATCTGCAGAGTTAGTGGGAGCCCTTTCTGCACTGCACAGTATCAGAATAAGGGATAATGATGTAGTTCATGGTTATCATTAGAATATACACACTCTGTATAACGCAGTATCTCATGAAGCTCCATCACCCCTGGTTTACTGAAGCGGAAACTGAGCCCTTAGATGTTACTGACTAGATTACAGCCACAGATATCGTAAGTGCCTAGACTAGGCTTGCAACTCAGGCTGGTCTAACTTCAGACACCCTTGCCACTCAACCACGTGTATCTTCGCTGAGATAATGCATCAGAAGGTGGTAGGTGTCAGTTTCTCCTCCTGACGATGCAGCCTACTATACAGATCTGTAAGAGCTTCCCTCGTAGCTCAGCAGTAAAGAATCCTCCTGCCAGCGCAGGAGACATGGATTCAATCCCCGGGTCAGGAAGATCCCCTGGAGAAGGGAATGGCAACCCACTCCAGTTTTCTTGCCTGGGAAATCCCATGGATGGACAGAGGAGCCTGGTGGGTTCCAGGCCACAGAATCACAAAGAGTCGGACACAACTGAGCAACTGAGCACACACACATGGATCTGTCATCTGGTTCACCCCGGCACTTCCCGTCCTAGGAGAGGGTTCGCAGCATCAGTCGGAGGCATCATTGATGGTCTCCCTCCTCCTGCTTTCCTTGTTCACCAGCCTAGTTTCACAGATGCTGATGCAACCCCCTCTACTCTCTCAACCATGAAGCAGACTTCCAAGAAATATATCCTCTGGGAAAAAATCATAATTCTTTTACATAGTCTTTATCTCATCTTGGAAGACTCAGTTCAGAGGTTCCCAAGAGGAGGAGGTGTGAATGGTAAATATCAGAAATTTCTCTCTATAGAAGTAGTCAGTAGTATCAGTGGTTATAGAGCAGTAATGGAGGTGAAAGTTAGTGGGCATCTAAAAATCACAAAGTGAAAAGGTCGAGTATGAGAAACCTCCAGTGATGGTTCAGTCTAATCCCTGGTCCTCTAAGTAAGGAACCGAGGCCCAGGGCATGGACGGACATGGCAGAAATGCTAGTGGGCACTGGAGACCTGACTTGTGATGCGGTGCCCAAGACCCACTCCCGTCTCGCTTCAGGTCGTGAGCCCCACCATCAGCTCCCCTGTGTGCCAGGAGCAGCTGATTGAAGCAGGGAAGCTTGTGGATCGCTCAGTAGAGAACTGCGTCCGCGCCTGCCAGGCGGCGACCGACGACGCTGAGCTGCTGAAGCAGGTCAGCGCAGCCGCCAGCGTGGTCAGCCAGGCCCTCCACGATCTCCTGCAGCACGTACGGCAGTTCGCCAGCCGAGGCGAGCCCATCGGTCGCTACGACCAGGCCACCGACACCATCATGTGTGTCACCGAGAGCATCTTCAGCTCCATGGGCGACGCTGGTGAGGGGCTGGGCTGTGGGCTGTGGGTGGGCCAGGCGGTTTGGGGTTCCCTGATGGCGCTGACTGTGAGCAAGTCAGATGATGCTTTCCTGGACGCCTGGTAAAAGGGCAAATGCTAACCACTCTCAGTCAGAGCCTTCTTCTGAGGCTGGGAAAGACAGAAGGCTCCTTATCTGCCCATCCAAGCAACACCGAGAGACTTAACGTCATCTAGAGTTTCTTTCATATATATATATATATATACACACACACACACACACTGTGGACCAAAATTATATATATATATATAATTTAAGTGCACAATATATACCTTTTGTTCCCAGAAGTCCATGTTAGCTATGGTAAAGTTGATGCAGCCACAGGAAGAGGCAAGAAGGAGGCTTGGAAGTTTATTATACTCAGAGGTCCCAGTCAGGGCGTCTCTGCTTGTCACACAGGGTCACAAGGGAAGCATCAGGTTCTGACCAGATGGCAAGAGACAGGATTGAGGAGAGAGCTCAGGCCATTGCCTTTATTGGGATTTCTGTAGAAAAAGCAAGACGGAGCAAGATGAACAACCTAGGTTTGACTCGTCTGAATAATTTCAGCTGGCTCTTCCCTTATAGGTATGATCCCAGGTTGCCTGGTCCATGGCTCTGGGATGATGAAGGCAGAGATGTATTGCCTCCGGACCTGTTAGGGGCCAGATGGAGGATGTCTCTGGATTGGTTAGTTTGCCAACATACTCTTGGCTGGACCCTTTCCTGTCTCTGTCTATTGGCCAGCTTTGTGAGGGGCAGTTTCTTCCCAACCAGAAAAGTTTCCCTAAGATGTCAAACATCACTACACACACATACACACACACACACACACATAAATAACCTTTTCAGCCTATTAGTTAAAAATTATGTCTCCCCAGACCTACACACACACACACACACACACACACACATAAATAACCTTTTCAGCCTATTAGTTAAAAATTATGTCTCCCCAGACCCAGCCCATCACTATCCCATCTAAATCTCTGGAAACTTCCACTTACCAATTTCTGTTTTACCTGTTCAGAAATGTTCAGTCTTCCTACCTAGATATAGGTATGTGTGTGTGTATATAACATCTTCTTTCTCTCCATATTAATGGAGCTCTATTACATATACTCTTTTGCAACATTTTTCACTGAATATGTTAGAATGTTTCTGCCTGTTGACCTATACACTATTCTTTCTAATGGGAGCATTGTATTCTATTCAAGAATACATCATAATTTACTTAACCAGTTGTTTTTTAATGGTGATTTCCAAATTTTTGTTTGTTTGACTAAATTAATATAGTGATCATTCTTGTAAAAATATCTCTTTACTTTGGGGAGTATATATAGGATAAGTTCCCATCATTTGAATTTCTGGGCGAACAAGTATGTACGTTTTTAATTTTAAGCATGTCTGAAATTTCTCTCCAGAAAGGTTCCACAATTTGCAACCCCACCAGTAGTTTGAAAGATGTCTATTTTCCTACTTATTCATCAGCACAGAATAATCAAGTTGTTGTTGTTGTTGTTGTTTTTTAAGAAAACTACCTTGTGCTTTTCTCCATCTTTCTTAAGTGATTTAAGAAGTGGCAGTACTCCACATATTTGGATTCTTGGGGTTCTTTTATTTAAATAAACTTCATATTGTGGAATATTTTTTATATCTATAGAATTGCTGGAGTAATAGACTTTTCCTTAACTGTTCCCTGTTTCCTCTGTTTTTCACATCTCCCCTAGCCTATAGGATATTGGTCTGGACTGGGAGATGAGCATTGGTATATTACAGTTCTCTAAACTACAGACATTATTCAGATTTCAGCAGTTTTCCACTAATGTCCCTTCATTGTCCCAGGAGCTAATCCAGGGTACCTTGAATCGAGCACATTTTGATTTTCATGAAGTTTCCCATTCCCCCTTCTTGCTGCCAGTGCTTCAAGATTCCCCACAAACGACCCAAAGGAGGATATTGCTCATATTTGAATCATTTTACTTTTTAATGTTTATGATGGTACCCCTTCCACTTCCAAAAGGAAGTTGAAACAGATTTCAATAAAATCACAATTCCTAATAACAAGATCAAAACCAATGCTGGGAAGGAAAGGGTGAGCAAAGAAATAATTGATAGGGAGACTGGGCCAAAGCAGATCTCAGCATCTGAGCATGAAACTGGGGTCTGTGCTTTCTATGAGTTAGAGCCAAGTGACACAAATAGAGTGGGTTATGTGATACCACTCATCTGATGTCAGGCAGGCTCAAAATTAAAAAAATATTTTTTTTCAATGCACATTACTCAAAGAGCTTATCATAGGGGCTTTTGTGTAAGAGACTCTTGATGTGAGGAAAATAATATTTTTTATGTAAGTATTTACTAAGCATAAATGCACACAATAAATCCACATAATCTTGTTCCCTGCTTTCTCTTTATAAAAAGTTCCTCTTAGGTTACTTATGTCATCTTTATCCCGCACAGTTAGAGACTGAACTTGGATGCCTTTGGGGTAGACAGGCCTGGCAGCCACAGGGAATGTTTTTGGTTCTGGGTCTAACTTGGCTTCATTGCTTAGGAATGGAGCATGGAGGCTCATTTCTCTTTGTCCTTTTTGCCAGAGGAACAGAGACGAGACTGTATTGGCCCCTGAGGTTTCCCCTGAGCTTTAAGAGGCAGACACACAGACTGCATCCTCTGTCCCACCCTCTAGGTGAAATGGTGCGCCAGGCCCGGGTCCTGGCCCAGGCCACCTCAGACCTCGTCAACGCCATGAGGTCAGACGCGGAAGCTGAAATCGACATGGAGAATTCCAAGAAGCTCCTGGCAGCAGCTAAACTCTTGGCTGACTCCACAGCTCGCATGGTGGAGGCTGCAAAGGTAGTACATTGGATTTATTCACTTGAAAAGTGAACGTATTGAAAGTAACAATCTGGAAGTTACCTTCAAGATAGAGAGTGGTTAACGGAGTGCGTGTTTTTGTTTGTTTAAAATCTATGTGGCTTTGTAATGTTTAACCTTCTTCAAGTGGGAAACAGGGAAGTCATGCAGCACATGAATGAAACTCTTTAGGGCACTGGTATTGACTCAGCCATAGACAGCAGAGTCCCTGCTTAGCAAGTATTCTTCCCATTGAGTCATTGCCATTGACTTTATTGAATCAAGTTGAGATTTTCCACAGTAAATTCACTTTGACCTGCTTTCTTCCTGTAGCCTTAATGTCACTTTACCCTCCATTTGACTTCTCAGCTAAACGTCTTTCAAGATTTTGCATAAGTGACCAACTTGTGGCTACCAAAGGGGGTGTGGGGAAGAGAGAAATTAGGAATTTGGGATTAATATATGCATACTATTATATATAAGATAGATAAACAAGAACCAACTATATAGCACAGGGAACTCTATACTCAATATTTTATAATAACCTATATGGGAAAAGAATCTGAAAAAAGGCAAAATTCAGCAAATTACTTTATATATAATTTTATATATAATCACCTTATATAATTTTATACCTTATAAAATTAATGTAGATATATGAATAAGAAAATAGAAACCACCTTCAACTTCATATCCCCAAGGTAACATGTTGAATGTATTCCTATGCATTTTCAGGTTCATAAAACATCCCCCACAGCTTAGCCTGTTTCCTTGGTTTCTAACAGAACAGTAGTGTATCTCAACCAAGTATGTGAAGTTCATTCACTTTCAATGTCTGTGACGTGCAGTGATATCCAGTAGACCTTCCTCCTTGTCTAACTCATCATTATATTACCTTAGGGGCTGAGAGTCCTTGGAGATATGTCCTGGGTAGGACTGAAGAGAATCCCAAGGAGGGGCAGAGTCTGAACTTCCTTCGTCTGCTCTGATCCCTCTTTCTGCCAAGAAGCTCTGCTTCTAACCATCCCTTTTAGCAAAAATATGCATTAGACCTTTAGATTGTAGTAAGTTTTTTTTTTTTTTTTTTAAGGTTGTTACTAGTTTTGTTTTCTTTCCCCCCTTCTTTCTAAGTTTAAACAAAGCCATTTCAAGCAAACCCTCATGTTCACAAAAATTACTTGCTAGGCTGGGAAGAACTTTAAGGAAAAGTCTGCATGCGTGCTAAGTTGCTTCAGTCATGTTCAACTCTTTGCAACCCTAGGGACTGTAGCCTGCCAGGCGCTTCTGTCCATGGAATGCTCCAGATAAGAATACTGGAGTGGGTTGCCATGCTCTCCTCCAGAGTGAAAAGTCTAGTCAGTCCTTTATTTTACAGATGAGAAAATTAGAACTAAGAGAAAGTTAAGCCTGTTATCACATAACCAGGACTAAGCCAAGACCAATATGCACATTTGTTTCTGTATGTGTAGTGGTCCCCAGACCCATTCACTGCATATACCAACTTACCAGAGTATTTGTTATTTTGGATTATTTATATTAGATGGGCAAGTTGAGTGTTTTTCTAAGTTATTTTAATCTTTTAGTTAAAAGTTGTCATGGCAATATTTTAATTGCTGAATTTTGTTGAAAGATAAAGAATATATGGTAGTTAGACTTACAAAGAATATATTTAATGTGAAGAAAAAATATAGATAATTAGTAACTAAGATGGCAGGCCAAAATTAGTACCCCATATCTAATATATGTTCATCATGAAAGACATTGCTAAGGAAGGATCCAGACACCCACGTCAGTATAAAGTACAGAAATGGTACTTTCCTGCTGCTTGAACACACAGTTAAGGCTGATGTGCCACTGGAGGCATTAATAAAAAATACCCAGTGACCAGAAAAAATGACTCTCATTAAAGCAGAAGAATGCAAAAGGAGCCCTAACAATCCTTTCACATGTGAAGTGCAAGGATACAATTTTTAGTTGCTAGAAACACAAAATCAAGACTACTAAAAGTGGTTTTAAGTTTGAAAGAATAGGAGATTCCATTCAAGAAGATTGCAAAATAACTCAGCCATGGGTGTTAGATCTGTTCCACTCAGTGTGAATTCCTATGACTTCTTATAAATACCGTAGTTCAGAGAAGTTTATTTTTGCAAATTGGTAAACTTGGCTATGGGAAATGGAGATGTTCAAAAAACTGATTTTCAGTAATTGGTGTGTTTCTTTCTGCCTTGCAAGCAATTATTATAGCCTGAAAATGTTTGTGGAAAGAAACTCGTTCATCTACATACATCCAGTGCTGGTCACAAAACATCCAGGCCCTGTGAGAAGAATCTCAGTTGATAACTTTTATTGCTGGTGGAGATGAAAGACTGGATAAGCTTTACATTTTTGTTGATTTGGGGCTTCCCTGGTGGCTCAGATGGTAAAGAATCTGCCTGCAAGGCAGGAGACCAGGGTTCAATCCCTGTGCCAGGAAGATCCCCTGGAGAAGGGAATGGCTACCCACTCCAGTATTCTTGCCTGGAGAATTCCATTGACAGACACGCCTAGCAGGCTACAGTCCGTGGGGTCACAAAGAGTTGGACATGACTGAATGACTAAGACTTATACACGCACTCATCATGCAGTAAAATTATCTTCTCCCTACATTATCTTTAGCCTTTCTCTTCTTCAAAACCCTACTCATCTAAGTAAAATCCACATACACTTCTACAGCAACATGATAAAAAAGCCATGGGCTTACACAAGGGAAGCATGGCCATTGGCAGTGCATGGAACCCTCCCCTTTCCACGCCAGGATAGCGGCATCAATTTCTCTTGTTACTTTAGTACAATTGGGTACCAATTCTACTTGAATACATTTGCCAACTCAGGCTCTCTGGAAATGTAATTTCTAGATATGGTCTTTTCTTGAACAACATTGCCTCACAGAACTTTGAATAGCATTCCTCTCCCTCCTCCCCCAAACCGGGGCCCCTGTGTTATACTGTGATCTTAGCCCGTTCTCATTCGCCAGAGCAGCAGGACAGGAGAATCTTTCAGCAGGGATGTATGTCTGTCGCTCTAATTAAAATACACTTCTTCCCGAGAGATGTGAGCAGGAGGGACTTAACATCTTTTAAACCATGGGTTTCTGACCACAAGGTAATTGATATGGATGATGAAGGCTATGATCTTAAGCATTACCACTGGATTTCTCCTGTTTAGCTGTGCATTGTTGAAGCATCCCATCCCCTGGTAGATATTTTTTTTAATGTGAGAGGAAACATCTTTGTCATAAAGATGCTGCTCAGAGCATTCCCAGATATCTTGTACTCCTAGGAAAAAGTACAATTGAAGGCATACATTCAGTGTCTTTGGCACATTTCCCCCTGGACCTCCTGGCATCTTTGCTTTCACCTTCACAGGGGGCTGCAGCAAACCCTGAGAATGAGGACCAGCAGCAAAGGCTGAGAGAAGCTGCCGAAGGTCTCCGGGTGGCAACCAATGCTGCGGCCCAGAATGCTATTAAGAAAAAAATCGTCAACCGACTGGAGGTCAGTAAGGAGTAAAGAGCTTGGTTTGCTAGGTTTTAGATTTGCAGAGAGTCCATTGAAAGAACAATCAAATTCATAAGGCAATGCCCATCCAAAGGAAGCTAAATCAAGATGGATGATGCAGTTTAATGGATTAGGTGCCATGAGCAACTTGAACAGCTGGTTTAGGGCCACTGTACGTTTAGGTCCAGTGGTTTAGATCCATTGACACAGTTTGAAAAACTGCTTTGGGTCATGTTTGCACAAAGCCAAGATCTTTTCGAAGTTTAACATTCTTGAATAAAATTTAAATTTTCTTTCAGGAAGAACCAGGATTTTTGTTTTTTTGTTTTCCCCTGACATTAAGGGATGTACATGTTCAGAAAAAAAACATAAAAGTGTAGCTAAAATGTAAATATTTTGTTGGAGGTAATGTTCTTTTAGGACTTCCAATAGAAAGTAATCACTTTTGAAGACTGGAGATGGGAATAAAGAGGTAGGAAAGGGAATAATAAATACTTTTGTCATTTTTCAGAATGCTTATTTATTCTTGGGGAAAAAAGTAGTAGGCACAAATTCTTTAGAAAATGTATCTCACAAATGTACACAGGAGACTCTTAGAATACAATTTGGGGGGATTTGAGGCCAGAACTTGCCTGTCTGTTGAGGAATCCCAACCTGTGTAGTTTTCTGGGTTCCGGAAAACAACTGGCCTCCTTGTCCATGGAAGGAGACTGGCGAGTCAACATGATTAAGTATGCCAGACCCAGAAAGGCCTGGGCCTTTCTGAACCCAGGCACGTCAGGAGCACCAGTGTTTGTGCCTGGCATTTGACCCAGAGAGCAGCCCACACCTCATGTGAGAGAGAGGCCTTTTTCCTAAAACATTTAGGCTTGCTGCTGCCAGTTCCATGTGGTCTTGGGACTTGTCCCTTGTCTTTTGTAGAAAGACAAATGAACACCGGAACTTGGACACTCAAGCCAGCCTCTCTTTTTCAATTGCCCCAGGCAACACAAACCAAAGGAAGACATCAGGACTCAGCTAGGTTAGGATGTCAATGGTGCTGAAAGGGTGGAGTCTGTGCCTGGCGCTCCCTTTCTTATAGCTGTCCGGTGCCCCCCTTAGTGGAGAGAATGTATGTCAGTGTGTGTGTGTGTGTGTGTGTGTGTGTGTGTGTGTGTGTGTTTGCACACGAGAGCCCTGGCTCACCGCCTCTCTCTGTCCCGCCACCCCTCCCCCAGGTGGCAGCCAAGCAGGCTGCGGCTGCAGCCACGCAGACCATCGCCGCCTCCCAGAACGCAGCCGTGTCCAACAAGAACCCTGCGGCCCAGCAGCAGCTGGTGCAGAGCTGCAAGGTGAGGCTCTGGCCACCGGAGAGCCAGGTCTGCTGCAGGACACCCTGATAGCATTAGAGCACGTGGTGCCCGGCTAATTCAGTTAGGACCGATCACCCAGGCCCCTAATCCAGTTTGTTCTGGCTCCCATGTTTCAGGTGTACACACACATACACACATCTGGCTTTCGTCTATTAAATGGATGGCCTGAACTTGGAAGGAAAGCACAATGTTTTTCCCAGTGTTGTCTTTCCTTTGTCTGGTTTCTTTTCCTCCTTTTTGTGAGCACAAATCAAGGACGATCGATAACAAGGCCATTTTCGGGCTCTGAAGCAGTAATGAGGCATCGAATTTCCCGAGTGCCTTCCTCCCTTTGAACAGTGGCCTCTACCTTCAGTCTTGGATTTATTCATCCTGCCTGGGCTCAGTGCTGCTGTGCTCTGGGGCTTACTCTGGTTACCTGATGGATCTTCTGAGACCAGGCCCTGATTCCATGCCAAAGCCACGGTGCCGCCGAGGGTGCGGCACGCCTCTGCCGCCTTCTCTGAGGGCCCACAGTTGACTCCCGGGAGAGCCCCGAGCAGTGCCAGATGCACACTCTCATTGCATAGCTGTCACCCACGTCTTGGCACCGTTTCTCACTCAAGTCTCCCGCAAGTGTCTGCAGTTCGCCGTGGGAGCTGGGTGTAGGGACATGTTAGATTTATGAGCTCTCGCTCCTTTCTCAACTCCCCTCTGAAGTGATGCATGCGTGAGGGGTGTTGGTGCCTCTACTTCAGAAATGGCTTTACTTCTGCAGGGAGACCACCCAGGACCCTCTAAGTCCCGAATCCCGGGTCTCCTAGCCCAGCCCCTCATTAGGGAGCAAGTTTGCTCTGGTAGAAAAGCCTCGGCAATACAGGAGGACCCTAGCCTTGGGACTGTGCATATCAAAGGGGTTTTTCTGAGAGCCAGGCGCCTGCTGTGGAGGGAGATGGTTTCCTATCAGGGTCTGGCACCAGCCGCCAGTAGGGAGAGCAGAATGGCATTTCCCTTCTCAGAGAGCACATGCCACTTGTGTCCAGGTTAATAGTATGAAACCCCTCACCTCTTCATTTTATGAGGAAACTGAAGATACTCAGCCTGTGGGTAACTGTGTCGGGATGAGAGCACTGCTGTTTATCAGGATGCCGTGCAGAAAGGAAAGTGGACCAGATTCCTGGAGAGGATCCACGGAAAGTCTCCTCGAAATTTTTTTTATTTTTTAGATTCTTGCCTGCATGGACTCCTGGAAGGAACATGTCACCATGGTGGGCTGCTCTTGGGCCCTCCCTTAGAGTGCTGGCCACTACGCCGTGAGCTCTGAGGGCCTGGTTAGTCAGACGGGGCATGGGCACAGACGGCCGTGTGGGAGAACGCTGAGTGAAAGGCCATCATCTCCTCGGCACGGTGGGAGATGGCTCTTTCAAGTGCTCTCCCCACAGGATGTGGTGCTCCCTTCCCTACCCTGGGCAGTGGGTTTCCCCATTTGAGAATGAGAACACAGGAAGAGAAACCATGGCAACATGAAGGTTGATGGACAGAAACTATAACCACAAAGTCAGAAATCGACATGCTGAAGTATGCTGTTAGTTGAGTATTTCTCTCACATTCTTCTCATCATGGCACTGAATAAATCTCCAATTTACCTGTAAATTGGAGAGAGTCTTTAATTCTAGGGCTTTCAACCCTCAGGAGTCAGGATGGTGTGAGTTGCTACTGGGGAAATGGTTTTAAGGCCAAGTTACAGAGGATCATCTTGTGCTGGGTGTGTTGGGACCTGGAGGACCACAGGGTCCATAGAGCGTTTGCAGGAGGAGCCTACCCACAGGCACTGTGTTGGGACTCAGTGTTGGCAGGGACCCTGCTGGCTGCAGCTGAGTGAATGCAGGGTCTGGGCTAGGCATCCCCAGGAGTGAAAGCGCACCTACAGAACATTATCACTCGGGGCATTTGCCCCCGCACGCTGTTTTGGTAATTCACCATCCCGGATGTGCTCAGTTTTCATCTTCCTTTCTTCCTGCAGGCGGTGGCCGATCACATTCCTCAGCTGGTGCAAGGGGTCAGAGGGAGCCAAGCTCAAGCAGAAGACCTGAGCGCCCAGCTGGCTCTCATCATCTCCAGCCAGAACTTCCTCCAGGTACTGCAGCAACATTCACCCTGCTTTTCCCCAGAACCACAACCCACCCCACCCCACACTGGACAGGGGGTTCCCTTTATCCTTTAGGAGAGGACTTCACAGATTCTAGAGCAAGACCAAAATGTTCATAGTAAGCAGACCTGGAGAGGGAGATGGAGATTGGCAAAGCAAGATGCCGCTGTATAGGGAAATAGCCAGTTTTCTATTTATATTTCTCTTCTCTGAAGGAAGACATGTAACCAGTTCCACTTTTTGAGAACAGCCTAGTACTCGGTATTGCTTTAGGTTCACTAATTTCTGGAACATGTCATGCCATTATTCATTGAGTTTTCCTGGTGGCTCAGATGGTAAAGAATCTGCCTGCAATGTAGGAGACCCTGGTTCGATCTCTGGGTCAGAAAGATCCCTTGGAGAAGAGAATGGCTACCCACTGTAGTATTCTTGCCTGGAGAATTCCATGGACAGAGAAGTCTGGTGAGCTACAGTCCATGGAGTCACAAAGAGTTGGACACGACTGAATGACTAACACTCTAACAAGTTTCTGGAATATCTCATGCCGCTATTCATAGCCAGGGAAACAAGAAGCAGTGAGTACATCTTCTCCAAAGGTGTCATGCTTTCTTGTGACAGTTGTAGAATTAGTAAGTATTGTTGGTCTTCGTTAAGTGAGGCTAGGTTCAATTTTTTTTTAAATAAAAAAAATATGACTATTAAGTTGTGGGAACACTCCCTTTGTACTTTTTGTTTTCACATTTCTCAGCACTTTGCCAACTTGGACCCTGTAAACAGTCCATTTGGTCTGGCCTGTTTCTTCCTCATCCCTGTCTATTCAAATCTCTACTTAGAGGACCCACTGATACATCTATTTGGTTAATTTTTTGAGTGCCTTAGCTTTGACATGCAAGCATAGAACGTGAAAAGCTTGTGCTTCCTCACATTTTAACTTCACACATAAACATATTTATGTATGTATGTATTCCCTGGGGATTCACTGTGTGTTAACTATGTTTTTCTTGTTAACATTTATATTAAGAACATTGATGATTTTGATTCATAGCCTCTCATCTCCTATACTCAGTTGGCTAGCTTTTCTCCTGTCTTTGGACATCCAGGTGGTTTTCAGTTGGTTGCCATCATAAGCAATCTGTTATATGATAAAAATAAAAAGACTTAATGTGTGCTCAAATCTTTGTGCCCCTCCTAAATTGTTTCCTCAGAGTAGGTTACTAGAACTCAGATTGCAAGCTGCTTATTTTTATCTTGGGACATTGAGAATTATGGCTTAGACAAGTTGTTTGTCTTCTGCTCTAGGTGGTTAGAGGGCCTGGAGTCAGTCATGTTTGTCCCACAGTCAGCAGGATTGTAGGGTCTTAGAATAGTACAGTGTGGATGTGTTCCAGGGCTTACTCTGCCAGTCCCTACACTTGTTTTTCCTGCTTCTTTTGTTCTTCTAATCTTGCTGTGCATCAGACTTTTAAGAATAAATTCAGAGTCAGAAATAAATAGAAATGGAATCAACAGACCAAAAGTTTCAAACTTTTTTTCAAGTTTACATTTTAAACTTTCTTCTTATATGTGATAAAATAGCCTTTCCAGAAGGATGAGTGAATCTAAATGTACAGCTAGCAGTGCATGGAGCACACTTTTTAATATATCTCTTCCAAGTTGGGAAAGCAATCATTAAAAAGTTTTTACCAATTTGCTTGGTAGAGGCTTTATTGTTTGACTTTGCCTTTCTGTGGTTTTCACAGTGTTTAACATTGGTCATGTTTCAGTTACTTGTTTTTATTATGTAAACTTGTCTCTTTATGCTTTTTGTATATTCATGCTAATTTTTCCTATAAATCCTCATGAATTCTTTAAATATTAATAATATTCCTATGCTCTTGATATTTATGACCCAGCATTTAAATTGTTATAGCTGTGCTAAGAGCAGTTGTGTAGCATACATATCAAAACCCATAAAATTATGTATATTCTTTGCTCTGGTAACTTTATTTCGTAGAATTTATTTTTTAAAAAATGTGTACAAAATTTTAGCTATAGAAGTGTTTATCACATTATTGTTTATTATATTTGAAAATATGAAAACCTACTCAATACAGGATTGAAAAGTCATAACAGATGTATACACTGGAGTATTATAACAACTATCAAAAAATAGAATATGCGGAACAAGAAGATTGAAAAACAGAATAAGTAGTATGATCTTATTTTTGAAAATATATGTACATGCACACAGCACCCACACATGATGAAACTTTCCTGGGTTCTGAGATGTGAGAGGTCATTTGTTTCATATTATATATGAAATATATATAAAAGAAATCTCTTTCAAAAATAAGAAATCTCTTTCAAATCTTTTCTAAATAAGAATTTCAAGCCACCATCCCAATTTTCCTACCCACAAAGATGCATACTTTTTGTTTCAAACATTCCTAGAGTGTCCTGCCCCAGAGTATCTGATTTGGGGTGGCAAATTTGGGGGTAGAGTTTTAGTATTTCTTGTTTTAGAGCAAAGTAAGTTGTGACTGATATGATGGCATTGCTCTCTGGGTCTCTCTTCTCTGACTCTTTCTGCTCAGGAGCTGTCTGACTTTCTGTTTTTCTCTCTACAGCCTGGAAGCAAGATGGTGTCCTCTGCCAAAGCTGCAGTGCCCACCGTCAGCGACCAGGCTGCGGCCATGCAACTGAGCCAGTGTGCCAAGAACCTCGCCACCAGCTTGGCAGAGCTGCGTACCGCCTCACAGAAGGCAAGTGCACCCTTGTCATGGCAGTTAGCTTGCCAGAAGTGGAGCTTTTAATTCCTTACTATTTGTTGTGACCTGGGTGTTCCTTGGGGCCAGGACATTGCTGGGCATGTTTCTTGGTGAAATTGTCTGTTCCATTTGCTTGACCATTAAATATGCTCGTGTGGACTGGCTTCTACCACTTTTAACTGCTGTCTCCTCGACTTAGTTATCACCTTCTGGTTACAGATGACTTTGGTTAAACTCTGCTAGGTTACATACTCCCCCTCCTCCCTTATGATGGGACTAGCAATGATCTATTTCTCACGATCTTAGAGGAGACTGGTCATCTGTTTCTTGATGCCAGATAGAGTGTGGACAAAGTAAGTGATCACATCATTCAGGTATTATCTTGTGAACTTAGTAACAAAGTATTTAGGTGGTAGATCTAATTTGGAGGATCATTTATACTATCTTTGTCCTGAAAGGTTTCTGTGTCTTAAATGGGAACATTCACCTACCAGGATTCTTAATAGAACAGAATTAGGGATTGAGGAGTTTCTGTCTCTGGAACTGATTAATTACCAAAGACCCTCCTTACTGCTCTGTTTGATATGGTATTAGCATGAAGTTCTGGCATGAATTCATTTTTCCTTACTGTAACAATCCCTTTGTAGAAGCAAGCAGCCTCATACATGACTAAGGGAAGAAGGTTTGAAGCTGATTTGAATTTGTAATATAAACAGTGTACTATATCACCTAAGAAAAGATATAATCTAGAGATTTAGATTATATCTAATAAAAACGTTATTTTGAACCCTGTTTCCCAGAGAAAAGTCCTGAGGGCCATCTGCACTGGAATCACATGGAGGCACTTAAAATACAGGTTCCTGGTCCTTGCCTCTGAGCACCCAAGTCAGAATCTCTGGTTATAGAACCCAAACAACTACATTTTAACAAGTTTCCTCAGTGACTGTGACACACCCCCCTCCAACAACTGCTTTGGAGCTGTGAGCCCCAAAGTGGGACTCAAGCAAGACTGCTCACTGGGTTCAGGAAGATTCTGTGAGAGCTTCTAATTATTTTTGTATACAGTGTGAGGGTTAAGTGTATAGGCTCTGGAACTTCCCTGGTGGTCCAGTGGTTAAGACTATGTGCTCCCAATGCAAGGGGCCTGGGTTCCACCCCTGGTCAGGGAACTAGGTCCCACATGTGGCAACTAAAGATCCCATAGGCCACAACAAAGTTCTAAGACCCAGCTCAGCCAAATAAGTAATTAAAAAAAAAAAAAGAATTTGAATCTAAATATTCAAATTCTGGCCTTGCTATCGACTAATTTTGTAAACTGGCAAGTTAATTAACCTCTCTGTGTCTCAGCATCCTCACCTAGTAATACTGGCTACAGAAATCAATCAAATAGTGTGTACTGCTGCTGCTGTTACTATTATCTAAAAATGAAAGATGCTAAGATTTACCTGTTTTTAATATATTTGTATGTGTATAATTTATTAATATGTGTGTTGGGGGTATGTGATTAAAGCATTTGGAGACTAGTGTTTCTAAAGATCACAGAATAAAGTAGTTTTCTTTAAAGTTTTTACTAAGGAAAAACATCTTTCATAACCTTCAGTATGAAAAGGTAATGGTTTACAATCTAGAAATTTGAAAAAGAATTGACTCTTGAGAGTCCCTTGGACTGCAAGGAGATCAAACCAATCAATCCTAAAGGAAATCAGTCCTGAATATTCATTGGAAGGACTGATGCTGAAGCTGAAACTCCAATACTTTGGCCACCTGATGTGAAGAACTGACTCATGGGAAAAGACCCTGATGCTGAGAAAGATTGAAGGCAGGAAGAGAAGGGGACAATAGAGGATGAGGTGGTTGGATGACGTCAACAACTCAATGGACATGGTTTGAGCAAGCTCGGAGAGTTGATGATGGAAAGGGAAGCCTAGCGTGCTGCAGTCCATGGGGTTGCAAAGAGTCGGACACAACTGAGTGACTGAACTGAACTGAATTTTGGTATAGACTTGTCCCTGGAGTCCTGGGTTCATTTACGGGTTCATTCATTCGGCCCCCACATGCTTCCCAAGTTCCTATGTACACTCATACTGTGCTGGCCGCCCTATGTCTAGAACCCAGACACAGTGAGTAAAAATCCTCAGTCTGAGAGTCAGCGTATTTCAGATAAAAGCAGCTTCAAGGAGACTTTAAGTATATCCTGTTATGAAGCACACACAACTGATTATTTAGGGAACTTAGGACTGAAGTCTTAACTGAGCATAATTTTGTGCTCTTAGGAAATGCTAGTTACCTTTGCTTGCTCTTGCTAAATTAGGAGAGTCATTGGTTATATCCAGAAAAGCATTCATGTGTTGCAAGGTACTAGGGTTGCTTTTCCAAGCAGACCTTTGTGTACATATTTTCATCACTGCTGACAGGCCCACGAAGCCTGTGGTCCCATGGAAATCGATTCAGCACTGAGCACTGTGCAGACCCTGAAGAGTGAACTGCAGGACGCCAAGATGGCGGCTGTGGAGAGTCAGCTGAAGCCACTCCCCGGGGAGACGGTAGGAGATGTTGGCAGCCAGGAGTGGGGCTTCACCTTCTATTAGGATACATCCAGACATTTTTATAAGTTGTGGGTCAGTGCGCCTAAATTTCAAGATTCGTTAATGCAAAGCCCAGGATGGCCCCATGTCTCTAGAACTGTGTTAGGGCAGAGATGGCTCCAAGGGGTCTCTGGTGATGGGCCTGTGTGTGCTCCCCTCGGGTGTGACTGGGATGACCAGGCATCTGTTAATATTCACCCCTCTTTTACATAAACAATACCTGCTGGTGGTTGAGGCCAGGGTTCTGATCCTGTACCTTTTTCTGAAAAGAATGCCCAGTGCTGCTGAACGAACTATGTTTACACGTAGAAGTTCTGGCTTTCTTGGTTCAGGATGTATCATCCACCAGTTGTGGGCAAGTCCTGATCTCTATGTTCAAAGTATTTTATCTGTGAAATGGGTGGCAGTTAAGTTATAAAGATAAACGCAAATTATTTTCAGCAATCATGTTCAAAAAAAATTTTTTTTCCATAATATAATGGGCAGTGACAAAGCACTTCGCTGTTGTAAACCCACAATAGCAAATGGAATGATGGCACCAGAAATCTAACTTGATCATGTTGTAGTACCTCCTAATGCCTTTGCCAGGGTTTTCTTAGCTACAGTTTTACCAATTGTCCTCGTTTGTATGTAGATTCCTCCTTTCCCTCACTCTTGAACATTGCTGATAAGACACCTCATTTATTAAGCACCTGTTAAGCAGTGTATACACACACAATCCATCTAGTTTATCCTGACAGTAAACTTAATTAACAAGTGTTGTTCACCCCGTTTACAGCTGAGAAAACAGAGGTGCAAGTTTGTCACTGTTCTCCTTCGTGCTACCTGGCATTAGCATCACAGTCACAGTTTGAACCCAGACCTACAGGACTCCCTAGCCCATGTCATTGATATTTTACACTGAGAACTTTTAACTACTGCCACTTTTTGGATGAACTAAAAACATTAAGAATATAAAGAGACTAATTTATCATTGAACAATGCCTGGTACATAGGAAGCACACAGAAAATAACCAAGTCAAGCTACCCCTCATTGTAAAAACTAGGCAACTCAGGCTCAGAGAGGTTAAGTCACTTACCCAAAGTGCCCCAGCTAATGCTGAGGTTGGGATTGGCTCCTGGGCCAGCAGCTTTGCACTGTGGTCCAGGTTTTCCTTTGCAAAGTTCTGTGCTCCAAGGAGCCCATGACACGTATTCTGCCTTTACATAAAACAACTGGTTAGTTAGAATGCAAGAAACGTCATGTAATTTTTTAAGAAATTGTTGTGTGTACTGTATTATATGGTTGCCTGTAATGGACCAGGCTCTGTTTTTTACTTAAAGGAAATGCCTCTTAGAAAACATGTTTGGGGATTAAAATGGCATACACTTCCTGATCACCCAAAAGTTCTCTTCCAAAATGTTGTCCTCATGTAGTAATCAAACAATTACTCATATCCTAGACCTCTATTGACTTTATTCTCTGAATTATTTATTCTGTTGACAAAGCAAGATGATGTGCTCGTATGGGAAGCAAGCACTTTGCTCGTTTTCATAATCTCATTTACCACTCCAAGCCTCTATTTCTATTGCATTTCCTTCTGGTTAGAATTCCGTAAAAGTATAATGATCAAATTGAACAATGTTAATGGTCCCACGTGCCAGGAAGGTGGAACAGCTGGATGTCTGCCCACTTCCTGCCAAGGCATAATTAATTCTCACTAAGGATTTGTTGCAGACTTTCTGAATTAGCTTCTAAAGGCATAATACTAATAGCTACCATTTGTTGAGTACCTACATTAATTCTCTGAAAACTTTTGAGCTACATACTATGATCTCAGGACAGAGAGACTTGGAGAGATTCAGTGACTTACCCAAACCTCTCACAGGTAGCAAGTGGAGGAGGGGAGCAGAGGGCAGGGTGTGAACTCAGATTTGTTTACCCTGAAGCCTGTGTTCTTTCCCCTCTATCACCCTACTTCTTCATAGGGCCATTGGTATATTAGATGGGAAAGAGTTGAAGCCCAGAGTTTCATTTGCATTATTTGGGGACTAAGACTTTTGTGGATAATTTGGTTCTTCTAAGTTCTTCTCCCTATTGCATGTTCTTACAGCTGGAAAAATGTGCTCAGGACCTGGGAAGTACATCTAAAGCAGTGGGCTCCTCCATGGCGCAGCTCCTGACCTGTGCTGCTCAAGGCAATGAGCACTACACAGGTGAGACTCGCCTTCATGATGCCCTGAGGCCAGGTACAGACCATGGGCTGGTGGGAGGAGTTCATTGATTTGACAATGAACCTGATGTTTTTATTTCAGCAGTTCAACACACATTTCTCAAGTACATTCCGCATGCTTATTACTGGGCTTGATGCTAAGCATGCAAAAACTAATCAAATATGATTCCCCCAAACTATCAATATTTGTGATTTTTGGCATCCCAGGGGAATTGCTGGGTGATAAGCTGTGTTTTTGCCTGGAAAATCCCATGGACAGAGGAGCCTAGTGGGCTGCAGTCCATGGAGTCGAAAAAGAGTTGGACACGACTTAGCAACTTTAACAAAAAACAAAGCTATGCAGCTACTCAGCTACACTCCTTCCTTGCAGTGCCTGAAAGTTCTACTCGTTCTACATCCTGGTCCCCACTCTATTCTGTCAATTTTAGCTTTTCTCTTGAATGTGTAGTGGAATCACATTACGGATTTTAGTTTGTGTGTCCCTGAGAAGCAGTGTGGTTGAGGATATTTTCAGTGTATCAGTCATTTGGATACCTTCTTTGTGAAGCATCTCTTCATGTCTTTTGTGCATTTTTTAAAATACTGGTTTTCTGTCTTTTCCGTGTATATCTGCAGGAATTAGTTGTCACGTATGTTGTGGCTTACCTTTTCACTGTCTTAAAGGTGTTTCTTGATAAACAAACTTAAACTTTAATATAGTCCAATTTGAACTTCTCCTTTATGGTTAGTGCTTTTTGTGTCCCATTTCACAATTTTACTTTTCCAAGTCCTGCAGATAGTCTTCGCTGTTATAGTGTGGAAGCTTTGTTTCACTTCGCATGTAGTAAGTCCCCTGTATATGAACCTTCAGGCTGTGAACTTTCAAAGATGCAGATATGCATTCCATCAGCATCAGCGGGAGTGAAACTGCAGCTTGCCCTCCATCTCCTGTTGCTGCAGCCCTCCAGCTCTGCCCTCTCCCACCTCTTCTCCCTCCTCCAGTCAGTAACTCTTCTTGCCTGTTCACTTGATGCCAGGCCCTGTGTGCCAGCTGTTTCACTGTACGGCTGTACTTTTCTAGGTGCTGTACTGTAAGATTGAAAATAGTTTGTTTTCTGTGTTTGTTTTTATGCATTATTTGTGTGTAAAGTATTATAAACCTATTACAGTACTACATAGCTGATTGTGTCAGTTGGGTAACTAGGCTATTTTTGTTGGACTTGCAAATTGGGCTTAATGAACGTGCTCTTGGAATGGAACCTGTTCGTTTGTAACGGACTTGCTATATTTAGAACTGTGATCCATCTGGAACTGAGTTTTACATGTGGCAAACAGGGTCCTAGCGGAGTTCTTTTTGCACTATGGCATCCGTGCACTTCCTTTCCCCAATGGTCTTGAGGGCCATTTCATTATAAATTAAGTGAATCAATGTGTGTGAATCAGTTTCTAAACTTTGCTTCTTTTTCATTGCTTTAATTGCCTGTTCCTACCTTAGTACCACACTTTCCTAATCACTGCAGTTTTATACTGTGTTAATATCCAATAACATGAGTGCCCTGACCTTACTTTTCTTCCTCAAGTTAGTCCTGACTTTCCTTGACCCTTTATATCCACTCTGTTTTAGATGCAGCCTATCAATTTGTGCCTTCCGACCAATAAAAACTTTTTTAGTTTTTTTTTTTTTCTTGGTGGTTTGATTTTGATTTGGGTTTCCTGAATCTGGAGATAATTGGCATCTTTATATCATTGAGTCTTCTAATCTATGAGTACCATATATCTCTACATTTATTTAGGTTTCCTTTCTCTCAATATTGTTTTATAGTTTTTTGCATAGATATGTTGGCTTTCATTATAGTATGCATCATAAATCTTTTCCCCTTTTATGTGTAGTGGAATCACATTACGGATTTTAGTTTGTGTGTCCCTGAGAAGCAGTGTGGTTGAGGATATTTTCAGTGTATCAGTCATTTGGATACCTTCTTTGTGAAGCATCTCTTCATGTCTTTTGTGCATTTTTTAAAATACTGGTTTTCTGTCTTTTCCGTGTATATCTGCAGGAATTAGTTGTCACGTATGTTGTGTCTTACCTTTTCACTGTCTTAAAGGTGTTTCTTGATAAACAAACTTAAATTTTAATATAGTCCAATTTGAACTTCTCCTTTATGGTTAGTGCTTTTTGTGTCCCATTTCACAATTTTACTTTTCCAAGTCCTGCAGATAGTCTTCGCTGTTATAGTGTGGAAGCTTTGTTTCACTTCGCATGTAGTAAGTCCCCTGTATATGAACCTTCAGGCTGTGAACTTTCAAAGATGCAGATATGCATTCCATCAGCATCAGCGGGAGTGAAACTGCAGCTTGCCCTCCATCTCCTGTTGCTGCAGCCCTCCAGCTCTGCCCTCTCCCACCTCTTCTCCCTCCTCCAGTCAGTAACTCTTCTTGCCTGTTCACTTGATGCCAGGCCCTGTGTGCCAGCTGTTTCACTGTACGGCTGTACTTTTCTAGGTGCTGTACTGTAAGATTGAAAATAGTTTGTTTTCTGTGTTTGTTTTTATGCATTATTTGTGTGTAAAGTATTATAAACCTATTACAGTACTACATAGCTGATTGTGTCAGTTGGGTAACTAGGCTATTTTTGTTGGACTTGCAAATTGGGCTTAATGAACGTGCTCTTGGAATGGAACCTGTTCGTTTGTAACGGACTTGCTATATTTAGAACTGTGATCCATCTGGAACTGAGTTTTACATGTGGCAAACAGGGTCCTAGCGGAGTTCTTTTTGCACTATGGCATCCGTGCACTTCCTTTCCCCAATGGTCTTGAGGGCCATTTCATTATAAATTAAGTGAATCAATGTGTGTGAATCAGTTTCTAAACTTTGCTTCTTTTTCATTGCTTTAATTGCCTGTTCCTACCTTAGTACCACACTTTCCTAATCACTGCAGTTTTATACTGTGTTAATATCCAATAACATGAGTGCCCTGACCTTACTTTTCTTCCTCAAGTTAGTCCTGACTTTCCTTGACCCTTTATATCCACTCTGTTTTAGATGCAGCCTATCAATTTGTGCCTTCCGACCAATAAAAACTTTTTTAGTTTTTTTTTTTCTTGGTGGTTTGATTTTGATTTGGGTTTCCTGAATCTAGAGATAATTGGCATCTTTATATCATTGAGTCTTCTAATCTATGAGTACCATATACCTCTACATTTATTTAGGTTTCCTTTCTCTCAATATTGTTTTATAGTTTTTTGCATAGATATGTTGGCTTTCATTATAGTATGCATCATAAATCTTTTCCCCTTTTACTTTCAGTTTTTCTCTATGTTTATATTTAATGTGTGTGCCTTGTATATCACGTAGTTGTCCTTTTATGGGGGGAGCTGTTGTTTGTTGGTGTGACAGTATTTTCATTTCAGTTGGACTGTTTGGTCTACTTACATATAATGTAATCACTGATACATTGAGGTTTGAATTTGTCATCTTACTAGTTCTTTTCTATATGTCCTACCTACCCTAGGTTCCTTTCTTCTCTCCTTTCTTCTCTTCTTTCAGAGTTAGAAGTGCTTTTTAAAATCTGTCACCCTTGATGAGTTTTTTGTACTTGCACTGCCTATTTGGTTTCTGCTTTGGCTGTGCTGGGTCTTTGTTGCTGCACATGGGCTTTGTCTGAGGGCAGTGAGCAGGCGCTACTCTCCTTTGCGGTGTGCAGACTTCTCGTTGTGGCGGCTTCTCTGGTTGCAGAGTGAGGTTGTGGCCCACAGGCTTGGTTGCTCCATGGCTTGTGGGATCTTCCTGGACCAGGGATCAAACCCAGGTCCCCTGTATTGACAAGTGGATTGTTAACCACTTGGACCACCAGGGAAGTCCTCATTGCCTATTCTTTAACAATTTTTTAAAAGTATAATACAGGTTAGTATGTTTACCTCTTCCTGGACAGTGCAAGAATCTTGGGACACTTATACTTTATTTATCTTTCTTCCAACTCGTTCCTTGTTTTGAGCGTTTTAAGGCTACATATATTTAACCTCCCCAATACAGATTGAAATTTGTGCTATAGTAATAATTAAGTGCTCCTCCATATTAACCTTTCCATTATTATTTATTCATTCCTCCCTGATCTCAGCGTGCCTCCACCTGGAATTATTTCCTTTCTGCCCAAAGAACTCCTTGCATTATTTTCTTTAGTGCAAGTCTGCTGTGGCCAATTCTTTCAGTTGTTGCTTGCCTAAAAATGCCTTTGTGTAACCTTTATTTTGGGGGGATAACTTTATGTATTATAAAATTTTAGGTTGGCGGTTGTTTTCTTCTAGCTTTTGAAGATGTTATGCCTTTGTTTTCTGGCTTCCTTTATTTCTGCTGTGAAGTTAGCTGTCACTTTACTCTTCTACAGGTAATGTGGTTTTAGCTTTCCCTCTGCTACTTGAATTTCCTCAATCTTTTCTTGAATTTTTGAATTTCCTCAATCTTTTCTTGAATTTTTGAATTTCCTCAATCTTTTCTTGAATTTTTGAATTTTCTCAATCTTTGATTTTCAACCACTGTGCCCAGACGAATTTTGTTGTGTGCTGTTTTGCCTACTTATATTCCTCCCTGATCTCAGCGTGCCTCCACCTGGAATTATTTCCTTTCTGCCCAAAGAACTCCCTGCATTATTTCCTTTAGTGCAAGTCTGCTGTGACCAATTCTTTCAGTTGTTGCTTTCCTAAAAATGCCTTTGTGTAACCTTTATTTTGGGGGGATAACTGTATGTATTATAAAATTTTAGGTTGGCGGTTGTTTTCTTCTAGCTTTTGAAGATGTTACTCCTTTGTTTTCTGGCTTCCTTTATTTCTGCTGTGAAGTTAGCTGTCACTTTACTCTTCTACAGGTAATGTGGTTTTAGCTTTCCCTCTGCGACTTGAATTTCCTCAATCTTTTCTTGAATTTTTTAATTTCCTCAATCTTTTCTTGAATTTTTTAATTTCCTCAATCTTTTCTTGAATTTTTGAATTTTCTCAATCTTTTCTT